GGAGTACTCGGTGAGTTTTATGCTTTAGCATCCTTGCATGCGTGTGAGTGCTGCCATGAATAGCATGCTTATATCCCAAAATGAATGGAAGGAGATATCACTTGCAGGAAAAGGAAAACACAAGTTGTTTATCATCGAAGTCTTTGGAGCAAAAAGGCAATGGAATTTCTAGGAACTCCGATATGTTTGATGTTCGTAGCTCTTGCACCACTATTATGCCTAGTGAGGCGAATGGCAGATTAGTTAACAGACCCCAGAATAGCAAGAGAGAAGGTTAGAACAATTCTTCTTGTCAAACCAAACAAATTAAGTTAGAAAACGTGTGGCAAGCAACCAAGTTTGTCAAAGCAAGGGCAAGGAGGGAGTCACAAACCTCCTTACTTTATGTGTTTTGGTTGTATATCTATCATCTCGGGTTGTGAGACATCGGTGTGTTATATTAACTTAGCCTATCGAGCTGTGAGAGGTGTTGTTTTAGTAGGCTAGGCATGTGCTTTCCTCCTATTGGGGGTGGTGCCTTTGGTCATGTCTTGAGCTTCATTGTGTATTCTATATTTTTTGGTACTAAAATGCATACTTAACAAAAAAAGAAAAAGAAAAATGGACTGCAATTAGGATATTGAGATGGATGTGAAGAAATAAAAAGAAAAAGAAAGACTGATAAATGAATTTAATCAAAGTTAAGCAGCAGTGATTGAGGATAAGAAGAGAGGAAGTTATCTAATTCAACGTAATGACATTTGTGTGAAGTTGGGAACATAAAATATCTATTATGTTGCTTGTAGGTTAGGATTTTGGTTATTTCATAATTTCATTAGAGTATAATCTCTAGTAAACAACAGAAAGAGGGTGAGTTGGGCATCATATCTATGGGCGTGCCTTATTTTCCATTGTTCTTTCACTCTTTATTTATATTTTTCTTGTATTCTTTCTCATCTACTGATATTCAAATGTGAAAGTTAAATAGTTATGATCACTATTGCCATTCTTTTTGTTTTTAGTTGATGTTGGCCATTTATTGCATCTTTTATTTGTTATCTTAAATAGTGTAGAAATCATGATTTCTTCTTTTGCAGTGATGAGAAGTCAAGAGATGCATTTGCATGTGGAAGACAAATACAGAGTCTTCCCCAGAGACATTTCTTAAATCAAGTACCTGGAATGGTTGGAACTCTCCCTGATGCTTTATGTATGCCAAATCATCATTATAGCTCTAATTGTAATGATAATGACACAAGCGAGGGAACAAATAAGGTTTGTGTACAAGCTGTCGATGGCTTCTCTTCTAGTGTAGTTTCATTGTTTGCAAGTCATTGCATAGATAAAATTATCTAGCAATTTGATTTTGATATGAATAAAGCTTCAACTTGAGTTGGAACTGCATGATTAAACTTGAGTGTTTCTAATCATCTTCTACTGCACAAATTCAAGGTTTGTGATGCAGGGAAAACTTGAAGGAAATAGGTAGTGCACAATGATTACATTAGGTCATTAACATCATTGTAAGTTGAGAAGAACTGAACAAGGAATTTGGGTGTATTTTTAGAAGGCTATTTTCCTGTCTGAAAGGTTTTCTAAATCTGTAAGTAATGTCCTTGATGCAGAGCGAGTTTAGAGTTAATTGAACGATTTTTCTCGGTCAAAGATGGTCGTGGAACTTTTCATTTCTCTTTCCTCTGTTAATTCTCTTTCTAGTTTTCTGGATGCTTCTTAATAAAATAATCAATATTGATAGTGCTTTTTACCATATTCTAAACCCAAGGTTTGAAATTCACTGTTTCACAAACATTGAACCTTCTTTCCTTATTTTGGAAATTTAACTCACCACTTCTGACGGCAATAGTGTCATAGAACTTGACAAGCCAAGGCTGTCTTGCATCAGTTTGTTTTCTCATTTTTTATTTTATTTTAATGCAGAGAGCCATATGATCTAATGTTGTATAAGACTTGCAGTTTCTGAAAACCATACCAAGATATGTGAAGATAGTGGAAGTTGGTCCAAGGGATGGGTTGCAAAATGAGAAGGAGATTGTACCTCCCTCCATAAAGATTGAGTTGATAAAGATGCTTGTTTCTTCTGGGTTGCCTGTTGTTGAGGCCACTAGTTTTGTTTCGCCAAAATGGGTACCACAGGTAAATTGCATTCAGTTGTTTTCAAGAGATTATTACTATGTTTATAGGTAGGTAGGTAGATTTACACCTTTTTCTCTTTCTTCTTCTTCTTCTTCTTTTTTTTGTTTTTGTTTTTGTTTTTGTTGGAGACATCAATTCCTGTTACTCGAACTTGCACCAGTGTGCTGGGAGCAGATAGTACTTGACATTGCTCCTGATCTCGACCTCCAATAGTCACTAATGTCTTACTTTTATAAGTCTTTAACTACTGACAAACAGATTGGTTGTCGTAATAGGATAACTTCGAAAGTGTGTCCAATACATGTTGATGTGTGTATGAAGGGTATCAAAATCCGACATGTCTAGAACACAAATGCGACACCCTAGTAGGCGTGTCCATGCTTCTGAGCTTGCTTGAGCATGAACCTATGAAATTTTCACCATTCACATTACAGAAAGCTCAACATCAAAGAGATGACCATGAATGGTAATAAATCATAATTAATTGAATCTACTGTTAGTTTGTACTCTTCTTTATTTTTATTTTTTAACCCATGTTTTGACTTCTACTGATCCTTTTAGTTAGTTTAAGTCCTCTTGTAATACTTATTGGCTTCATTTGATTACAATGCCTTATGAATGAATACCAACTTCAGACATATTATAGTTATAGTTAATGCAATCTGTGGGGTTTCTTTTCTAGATTATAATGTTTCTTTATCTGTCTTTGATAGGAATATATAGCAGTTTGATAAAAATTGGAGTAAAATACATTCTTTTAAAAGTATCATAATCAAAATTGCAGCTAGCAGATGCAAAGGATGTACTCGAGGCAATTCAGTGTGTTGAGGAGCTAGGTTTCCTGTTTTAACACCTAATCTTAAAGTAAGTTTCCCTTTGGAGCTGACCATTCTGTTGCACAACAATTTTTAATCTGTCTAGAAAGCATATTCAGTGTTTTGTTTCCCTTTCTTCAGGGTTTTGAGGCAGCTGTTGCATGGAGCTAAGGAGGTGGCCATCTTTGCTGCAGCTTCTGAGTCTTTTTCGATGTCAAACATAAACTGTAGCATTGAAGATAGCCTTGCTCGATATCGTGATGTTGCGCTTGCTGCTAAAAAGCTCTCAATTCCTGTCCTGTGGGTATGTCTTGTGATTCCCTCTTAACTTCTCACCTTTTCATGGAAATATATCTGACATTTTCAGTTTGTTGTTGTCTTGTCTAGTGAGATTGTTGTATGTGTGTGTGTGAAACATTTGATATTAGGTCGTGTGAAGAAACCATAACTCAGATTTAGGCATTGGAATTATAATGAGGTCCCCAACGTTTGATGTTGTATTTTCCAATATTGGATCTATTTAAAAACCAAATTCGAAATCCTAAAACCACATTTGATAATTGGCTGAAATGTTATCATATTAACGTATAAAAATCTTATCATGGGTTTGTTGTGTGCTTACTTCCTATGGCCTTCTACTTATCTTTACATTGAGGAGCTTTTATCTTCTATTAATGCTGTGTCATATGTTAAAATGTTATAAAGGATTATTGCCATCTCCAAGCCATTCAGGTATGTGCTGATTACGCGTATAATAGCTGCCCTGTGAGTTCTGATATCTTAATCTAGTTCTGCCTATAAAACCAGTTTTTATTCACTAGGCCAATATTGTTAAAATCTGATTGCAGACAGCTATTAAGTGTGTTGCATTTTTTATCTAAGATTTTAGTGTGATAAAACTGGATTTTTTTGGGAATAGGTTTTTTAGTAACTTTTTGGCTTTCTGGCTAAAGTATGATGTAAAAAAAACTAGTATGTTTGGGATGATTTTTTAATTTTTTACGAAAAGATGTGCAAAAAGTAGAGAGAAAAGGAAATTTTTGACTTTTTGGTATAGGTTGTTGGCTTTTTGGTTTTTTTAGTGACTTTTTGGCTTTTAGGCTAAAAAGTGATGTTGCCAAACAAGGCGTAGTTGCTTTTATTTTCCATTTTGCCTTTAATATTCAAATGTTTAAACTTAAAAATATTGGTGTGGCAGTTGGATATTTGTGTTTTTGTTGATTGTTGACTATTTAGCATTTGGAATGGTAGTTGCTTTTATGGCAATTCTTATTAATTTTTTGTAAGTTATTTATTTATTTTTAAATTCTTCCTCTTATTGTTTATAACTTATGAATTTTTGGTTTTGCCTATGTTGGATTTTGAATTATATGTCTATGTTAAATTACTTGTCTTTGATCAACAACGTTTGTGTCAATTTGGTGAAGCCTGCACCTCACTTCGCACCTAGGCCCCAAAAGACCTTGGCGCATTGGCATACCTCTCACCTCAAACGACTCTACAACTCTCTCTCTCTCTCTCTCTCTCTCTCTCAATTTGTGTTTTTGATACTTTGTAGGGTGTTAGCCTGCTATGATTTCCAAAGCTTTGTCAAAATAAGTATGTCTGATTTTTTTTCTTCCAATTATATTTCTTGTGTTGTTGGGTGCCCAATTGAAGGAGCAATAGCTCCATCAAAAGTAGCATACATGGCAAAAGAACTTTTTGATATGGGATGCTTTGAAATTTCCCTTGGTGATACGATTGGTGTTGGTACTCCAGGTAATTCTAAGGTGATTTTTATTTTTTTGTTTAGTTTCTACAGTTCATAGAATATGAGAAATTAGTAATGACATACATGTGAAGTATTAGTTTGTTGCTGACAACATAATTTATCTGTGACGACTGGGTCTTTATTTTCTTCCTTCTCTTTTTTCTTTCTTTCTTCGCCTTGTCTTTCTTTTATTTTTCATTGGGCTTGAAACGTTCGGAACTTGTTCTTAAAATAGAATCCTTGTTCTTGTGGTGTTTGGTGTTGGATCTCACTTGTTCCGAGAAGTGTGGGGTCAGGTTCGGAGTGCCCAGGAGCGAAGCGAAAAATTTTCTGGGCTGCTAGGCCAGAGTCGCACGTGCGGGAAGAGAGGAGCTCGATGAGTTACATTCTGCTTAAAAGGCACGATCGGGGAGAGGTGCGGGAGGACCACCGCACGTGCCAGGGTGAGGGCCGCATGTGCGGGAAGGGGGCTCCGCACGTGCGGGGTTCGGTGCCGCACGTGCGGCACTCTGGGCAGCCGAACCTTTGTTTTTTTTTTCTCTTTTTGGCCGAATGTGTATCTCATTTTGGATATTTCCCTCTCACTCTAAACTGTATTTTCCTCCCCCTTCTCTCTAGAAAACCTCCTCAAACACCAAAATACTTTGATTCTTGCAAATCTTGAGTCAAGATCATCATTATCTACCTCTAATTTTGAAGATCATGAACTAGGGCTTCACTTAGTGTGGTGGAAATCCAAGATCCTCTCATCCTTTGACTCTAGGGTTTCATCCTCTTTCTTCATCAAACCTTGAGGGAGAGACATTCTTGAGTTATATATACAAGTTTTGCTACTTTGATGATGGTTTTTAAGAGTTTTCTTCTAGTTTCTTGTTGATTTCAATTTTGTGATTCAAAAATGTAGAGAGTTTTAAAAGTGGGTTTGTATCTCAATTTTTTTATAAATCCTAGAGGGTTTTCATTTTATTAAACATAAGAAAAATGATTTGAAAGGCGTTCCATTAAGGAAAATGAGAATGTGTTGGGTTTTATGAGAAACCCTAGAAATTTGGGGATTTTGGGACATATGGGTAAAGCTCATGGATTTTCTCTTTTTCTAGTATTCAATGATTGAGGAAGTGTAGATTTATCATATGTTTTGTTAAATAGCAAACCTTCTTGATGTATGAACAATGAGGAATTATTTATGAATTTACTATATAACGCATGAGCATGTATGATTGAGGAAATGGGAAATTGGTATGTGCCATGGATTGTGGGAATTATAAGGTCTTGGAGACCTAATGTGGGTAACATAACATGATATTTTGAAGAGACCAACTTATTAGAAATTGTGCATGATGAGGAATGGTAATTGCTATGAGTTGAAGGCATGCAAGTTACTTTGTGAAATAACATTGAAGAAAGGAAATGAGAAAAGTATTTATTCGATATTGTTGTCAAGTTACTTGAAATGGAGAATGCTATGAGGTATGGAAGAACATTGCATTGCATTTGCATGGAGTTACATACTATGCATTGTGTGATTAAATTGGAAAGATTTGTTACAAGAAAGAAATAAATATATGTTTGATAATGAAGTTAATGGAAATGTATATGGGGTAAATACGTTAGTAAGTCCGGATAGGGGGTGTAGTTGAATTTGATAAGTTGGCCTGAGAGTCCATGGTGAAAGACCAGAAACCCGCGCGGATAGGTGTCGAGCCTTCCGGTTAATACCGGTAAAAATGACAGTTTGGTAGTACTTGTAGAGTCTACTTGCAAACACCGGCTCAGGGATTACCAGTGTCGTATTTACAGCCCCTATTGATTAAAAATTTGAATTTTTTTTTGAAATGTGTTGAGATTGCTAACTTTTATTGAATCCTTTAAGAAAGCATGGCATAGCATGAACATTTGCATTTTTATTGAGAATTGCATAATTGTATATACTTTGTTAGAATTCTCTACTGGGCTTTATGCTCACTCCTATGGGACATTGGTGCAGGTAAAGACATGGTGATCCCGCCAAGTTGAGGGCGCGGGTAATTGTAAAGAGTACATAGCTCTTATTTTTGTTGTGATCTTTTTGTAAGCCAAGGGCTAATGTGTTTAGGTTCGAGAGACCATTTTGTGTAACCGGGCTATTGCCTTGGAAGATGTAAGCCCTTAAGGGCATTTTATTGTTTTGAGAATTGACGCTTCACATGCTATAGATTCATGTATTCTTTTATGTTGTGAATGTTTACCGCATGTGAAACTTTTGTATTAAACCCATCTATTTTATATGTCAGGATGGAAGGATTATTGTCATTGTGTCATGAATGTTTATTAATTTGGGAAGTTCATGTTGAATCATTTTCGAGGCATTACATTATCATAAGAGAGCCTGTAAAAAATCTGAGTTTTACTTAAATCTTTCTAATTTCTTGTATGTTCTCATTTGAATTACTATTTCAAAACTTTAATCTGTCATATGCTATGTTTGACTAGTTAGCTGTTGACCAGCCATTGATATGGTCTGTTTGTGATTTCATACAAAAAAAAATTTTGAGTTTTAGTCCGGGGGATTGAATCCCTAAACCAAATTGGATTAACTGGTTCAATATCTGGTTCAACCAGTTGATCTGTGAACCAGTCACTGTAATTGGTCAATGTTTGGCATGTGGGTAGGGTCATTCTATTTCCACACACCACCTTTTCTCAGTTCAAACCAATTTTTTTTTTTTTGGGTACAGATATCAATTACCGAACAAAAAAACTCATGGTTTGGATATCAATTACTGAACCAAAGGTGTAGCCGAACCATGGGTTTTTGTTTGGTAATTGATATTTGAACCCTTTTTCTTCGGTTGTTGATATCCGACGAAAAGAGGGTGTGACCTGAGAAAAACATGTTTAAATTGATGCTCCCGTGGGTGCAACTTTGCATTAGGCCAACTGATCCATCAACCATGTCTGGTATGATGTAACAACTTGGGAACAGTATATTTGAACAAATAATGTGCATGTTTGTTTGCTTTTCTCCCTTGCAGAGGATGATAAGATTAATTATAGAATTGAAATAAAATATGTATATTAACTAAAAACTTGGTGTTGAATAAATCCTTTAGTTAATGCCATTTCCTGAATTGTACATATTGTTTTTTTTTTTCCCTCTTTCACTTATTTCTATTTATTTACCACTCTTTCTTTTGGCCTAGGTATTGTTATTCCAATGCTTGAAGCTGTTATTGATGTTGTACCTTTGGAGCAGCTCGCTGTTCATTTCCATGACACTTACAAGCAAGCTCTTTCAAACATTCTTGCATCACTCCAAGTAAGCCATCTTTTCATGTTAATCCATAGAAACCCAAACCTGTTATGACAGATCAATCACACTTCACATTTCAGGTGATCAAGACCGAAGTTAAACCATCTATTGTGCTTGTATGCACACACTGGTTTTAAAAGTAATTCAGGCCCACCTTTCAACAAGTTTACTATAGGTTTCTCTGGCCAGACATCAATTTACTCTGGTTTCCTTATGTTTTATTTAAAATTAAAATAAATTCTTTGGATGAACTGTTTTTTGAGCTTTTAGATGTATTGTACTGCAAAATGGATTACAATTGAATGAATTGTTCTTAGCTAAGGTTTTGACATATTGTTTCTTGACAGTAGTCAAGAGTCCAGACAAATAGACTTTGAAGTAAATAGTGGAAAAAGTAATTGAAATGCATCCTAATAGATAAGTAATATTCATTAATTGGCTACCTTTGCTAGTTTCCATCCTGAAATTGAAGTCTTCAGTTGAAGGAAAAAGGTAAATATATTTTCATTTTTTCGGTTTGTCATATATTAAGACTAGAAATCAGTGGTTTCCTCTATCCTACTGCTAATCTAATCCATTCATGACTTGTATTTAATATTTCATTGATCCTCTTTTAGAACTTGATTGATATCCCCTATCTAGTGGCGGTGTCCCTTTGCTGCAATGATTTTTGCATAATGTGGAGGAATATTGAAATTCATCCAAAAGAATATGATCATATTTGTCGATCTTTTTGAATAAAACAGCATTGCATCATTTGTGGTATTGTTTTTGTTTATACCTAACTTAATCATGATGTAAGTTATATTTTACTAATCCTCGTATAGAATTTGATCATATTCACCTATTTGATGTCGGTTTCCCACTTTTCTACAATGTTACTGGCATGCACATCAAAGTTTATCCAAGAAATATTTATCCAAGAAATATAACCATATTTGTTGATCTTTTGTAAGAGTGCATCATTTGAATTGTATAAATTCTTAATAGAGTTTCGTGGTGAATTCATATTTCATATTAATTCTTTGATGTTGTCTCCCAGATGGGGATTGGCATTGTAGATTCATCTGTATCGGGTCTTGGAGGTTGCCCATATGCTAAAGGTGCTTCTGGGAATGTTGCGACTGAGGACGTTGTTTATATGCTAAATGGGCTCAGAGTTGAGACCAATGTGGATCTCCGAAAGGTCATGTTGGCTGGGGATTTCATCTGTAAACATTTGGGCTGGTCCTCAGGTTCAAAGACCGCAATTGCATTGAGCCGAACCACAGTTCATGCTTCCAAGTTGTAAGCTACGTGGGACCAATGCACCTTGCTAAAGACATGCTTGCACACCAAGTTCTCAGTTTTTGAAATTGCCTCAAGCTATGTTTGAATCAACAATTTGAGGAGGGAAAGAAAAGGGGATATTTAGAATTGCCTTCAATGTCCCTTTATAGATATATCGGTTTCCATTGTTGTGTCACAGAAGCATTAAAAAAAAATAATGATAAATAATCTCAGTCCTTTGTCCTCACATTTGAACTATGTTCTGTTTCTATTTTGTGATGATTCCCTTTCATGGCATTTATGTACCTGATGTGAAAAAAAAATTTCAAAAAAAAATGAAAGAAGGGGAAAAAAAAAATCTATTGCATAGAACATTAAATTTTCTAAATATTTGTATGTGCACGAATTTTTGTACACGTAGCGCTACTCTTTCAAGTAAGAAGGGGGTGGTTAATGACTAGTTGGTGCTCTTCTTCTAGGTGATCTTACCGCCTGTGGCAGTGGTGGCGGCCCCTCCCTCTTCTTGTTGCCGCACACTACCTTTTGGGGAGGCCATACTGTATACTTCAATTTTTTTTTTTATTTTATTTAGGAGAAATTATTTATAAAACAATAAAAATAAAATCAGAGTTTGATCAGTGTAATAAAATAAACTTGAGTTTTTAATCTTACCTGAAATAATAATTGGAGAAAGTGAGAGAAGATAGAGATGAGCGAATAGAGAGAGAGAGAGAGAGGCACAATTGTTTCTATAAATTGTATATGTCTATTACACAAAGAAGGCAATCTATTTATAGAGGATGCCTTGGATGCCTATGAACAATAACATAATGCTACACTAATATAATGCACTAACATAATGCTACACTAACATAATGCACTAACATAATGCTACACTAACATAATGCACTAACATAATGCTACACTAACATAATGCTACACTAACCACAATGATGATACACTAATATACACTAACATCCCCCCGCAAACTCAAGGAGGGGAAGCATCAACCAAGTTGAGTTTGGAAACAAGATCATTGAAGCGGCCAGGAGGATGAGCCTTAGTGAAGATATCAGCGGGTTGATCAACGGAAGCGATAGGGAGAAGACGAACAGTACCACAGGTAACATGCTGGCGAATGAAATGACAATCAATCTCAATATGTTTGGTGCGATCATGAAAAACATCATTGTGAGCAATCTGAATGGCACTCTGATTGTCACAATAGAGAGGGGTAGGATCAGAAGAAGAAACACCCATATCAGCAAGGAGCCAGCGAAGCCAGAGAAGTTCCTGAGTAGTATCAGCAAGAGCTCGGTATTCAGCTTCGGTGCTAGAGCGGGCAGTGAGGGATTGTTTTTTGCTACGCCAAGCAAGAAGAGAATCCCCTAAGAAGAAACAGAATCCCGTGGTGGAGCGTCGATCCGTAGGATCCCCAGCCCAATCAGCATCGGAAAAGGCACGCAGTTCAAGAGAGGAGGAAGCAGAGAAGTGAAGACCATGGAACAGAGTGCCTTTGAGGTAGCGAAGGATGCGGAGTAGAGCAGTATAGTGGGGAGTGCGAGGAGCCGACATGTACTGACTGACAATGTGAACAGCATAGGCAATGTCAGGACGAGTGACTGTGAGATAGACAAGACTGCCGACGAGCTGGCGATAAAGAGTAGCATCAGAGAGAAGAGTCCCATCGAGAGGAGTGAGACGAATCTGAGGATCAACCGGAGTAGAGGCAGTTTTGCAATCAGTAAGACCAGCTCGAGCCAGAAGATCGGATGCATATTTGGCCTGGGACAAATAGGAACCAGTAGAATCATGAGAAACTTCAAGGCCTAAGAAGTAGTTAAGAGTACCAAGGTCCTTCATCTCAAAAAAAAAACACAGAAAACAAAAAACTCAATTTTCAAAAAATTGAAATAAAAAAATTGAAACCAAACAAATATTTTTAGCCTCTCACAAGAATTAGATAACGAAATTTCATATTTTTCTTGAATCCTATTCAATTTCAAGTATACTTTATATATAATTTATAACATTTCATTCGAGAATATATGTGTATATGATGCCTCCCCCGTATCCATATCTAATTTTGGATATGTATCCCAAAATCCGAAAATTTGCGGTCCCGAACCGAGGCACACGGCCAACGATCCCGAAAACCGGGAACCGGACTCCGAAATGGGCAAAATGGCCTGCGGCCACAAAATGTAGCCTATGGACATTGAGAGATGATCTACGGGACCTCCCCCTTCCTTCAGGAAAAGAAACCGAGAAAATCGAGCCTGGTTCGCAAACTGAGGCAAGGTACAAAAGAGGGTTCGGAAGTCCGGAGGCAGGGCTCACGGCCGCAACTCTGAAACTTCTGAACGAGCACATTATGCAACATCACCAAGTGCTCAATCAGTGACGTCTGAGTCTTAAGGTCGATCAAAAATGGGCTGTCTACAAAAGGTAAAAAGGTCCATAAAATACTTAAAATATGAGAATTACGATTTGGCAGATCAAATGTTCAAATAATAAAACTTATTAGAATACAAGAATATCTTATGGATTAATTGGAATACAAACACTTGAAAAAGATTTTCAAATAAATTTCTCATTTTTTTTTTTTTTAAATTACAAAAACACTTTTAAGATGTGTGAGAGAAAACAAGATGACATGAAAGCCGAAAGATTCAAATGGTTGAAGACGTCATCATGCTATTTAGCGGAATGTTGGACATGGAGTAACCAACGTTGATTCTTAAAAAAATTGACACCAAATTATTAGTTAGTACCTCTTCATCGTGTATGATAATTAGTCTTATAGCATGAACCCCCAGTGCCCCAAAATCCTTAAATTTTTCTGTGTCTTGAGAATATTTAGCTAGGTCTGTGGGAACATGTTGATTCATTAGTACAAGTGGATCTCCACAAAATTTTATCACGTTTCTATTTTGAAAAAAAAAAAGAAGCCCAAATCCTTGCATATTTTCCAAACTGCCATAAACATTCATCTAAACTTAAAATAAATAGATAAATAACAAAAAAATAAAAAAAATAAAAAAATCCCACCATGCAGTAATCCAAGCCCATTAATTATTTTATACGAGATTTAAGCGTTGTTCAAGTGATTATATTTCGAAGTTTGCAGAACAAAATTTAATATTTGAAAACATGTTGAAGGCTGGAGTGTATTACTTACTGACTTGTAACATCTTAGTGCACGCACACGAAAAAAACAAAACAAAAAAACAATTTTATTTAGAGATAAATAGAAATAAATAAATAAACAAACAAACAAATATGGCTTACCCGGTTAATGCATTCATGAAAAGCCAGAAGGCAATTTTCCAAGTCAATTTCTTTTCTTTGCCTCTGCAATCAGGGCGCCATTCTTAATTAATTTAATTATCAACATCTACAATATTAATTAATGAACACACAGAATTAATTAAAATGTAATCATGATGAGAAATTACTATTACTATTACTATATTACGAACAAAACAAAATAAAAAAGAATTAAGCAAACCTTTCACAGAAGAAAGCGAAAGGAACAACACAGATAGCACCCACGACATGGCGGTAGGACATGAGGGCAAAAATGAAGGTGCCCTCGATGAGAATAACCCTAGATAACAGTTGGAGTCCCGTGGCGAACACTTGCACCATTAGCATTCTCAACACTTCTCTTGAATCCCATACCCATTTCTTCACTTCACCACTACCAAACATCTTCCTGTTTCTGTGTCTCAAGAAGAGAAGAAGACGCCGATCAAAAAAGAAGATAAGACTCAGAAACTCTCAAGTCTGCAAAATAGACAATTTTGTATTGTGAGAAAGAGAAGACTGTTTTGATTAATTGACAGCCCTGTTTGGCAAATGGCTTTGGGATATTTTTTTGGTTAAAATTTACAAAAGATAAAAGTTGGTTAAAATAATTAATAAAATAAAATGTCACATTAAATTTATAATTTTTTTTTCTTATAAACATTACATTTAATTATAAAAAAATCTAATCATCTTTCTAAACATAAAAATTTTAACTTATTAAAATAATCAAAGACTAAAATAATATATACTAAAATAACAACTTTTCAAACAATCACGCTGTAAAATGCAAGTGAGCGTGTGCGTGTGATGAGATGTGGGAATTTGTACATCTCATGAGACACAGAGACGGTTACAGCTACTATATAACTGTATCTAGTACTGATCAAGTACGGATGAAACACAAAATTAACTATTCAAAAATTATTAGTTCAACATATATTCTTCATTGAAAAATTATCTTGTCTTCTATAAATTTATGTGTCTTTTCAATTTTATTAGTTTCTTTATGCAATATATAAGAAAAAAAAATAATAAGTATATAATCAATAGAATTATAAAGACATACTACGTAACATATGTGACAAATCAATAAAATAATTTTTCGTACTTCACACTATACAAATTTAATATATACAACACAACTACTCACACTGCTGGAAATTCTGGTTTTAGAGGCGTTTAAAAAATGCCGCAATAGGTCTTAAAAACGCCGTTAAATATTTTTGTGGCGTTTAGCACCAAACGTCGAAGATGCGACCGTCGCTATAACTCTGTGGCGCTTTATAAACGTTGCTATATGCCAATAGGCGGCGTTTTCTAAAAACGCCACTAAAAGTTCTGCCAACGGTAACATGACGTCATCATGCTATTTAGCGGCGTTTTTAAAACGCCGTCGTATATCTGATGCTATTTAACGACGTTTTTAGAAACGCCGTGATAGCCCCTTTTTTTCTTTTTTTAATTGTGCTAATTTTAGGTTATTTGAACCCAAAAAAAACCTATAATAAAACTGAAAAATAACATTAATATGAAATAATAACTCCCATTCACATAGTAAAATTTCCGCCAACGGTAAGTTCTGCCCGCTTAAGAAATATGTGTTTTGTCTTGTTGACGTAAGCATCCCATCTGCCAGGCATATGTGATTTGGACATTGTGTTATCTTTTCAAAAACATACTTCCATCATTTCTCAAAGTTGATTGTGCAGTTGGGCAATGATTAGATTTGTTTATATTCTATGCTTATTTATTAAAAACATACTTCATCATTTCTCATTTTCACTGTGTTTGATTAATATGCAGGTTGATAAATTTAAAATTTTTATCAGAATCGCTTGCTAACTCTGCTTCAAAAGCTGAAAAGCGTTATTTCAGACCACAAGTTATTAGCTTTACCTATTCTTTTATTGTTTTTGTATAGTAGTGCACCTCTTCCAAGAATGCGT